CCCGTGCCCCGCGGGTTCCGGCGCCGGGCCGGTGCTCTGGCAGGTCGCCCTGCTAGTGACACGGCCGCGGCATCCGGGGAGCTGCCTCCAGCTCGGGCGGTGCACGACGGCCGCGGCCCCAGCGCCCTACGAGGTAGCCAGGGCCCCAGACCTCCGTGGGGGGTGGGAGGGGTCCAGAGGGCATCTGCCGCCCCCGGCGTGTGCGGGGCGGCATGCTTGGGGCGCGGACCTCTTCGGGCCGCGGAGGCGTCTGCCCGCCGGGCGGGGGTCGTCTGCGCCGGCCGACCCCACCGCCCCCGGCGGCGGGAAGGTCACCCCGCCTTTCGCGGTCAGGCCTGCGTCCTGGCGAATCCTGCCTTGGGAACTGTGTAACCTCTCGCCTGCCCGGTAGTAACTTCTCGCCTCCTTTTCTTCCCTTGGTCGGAAGCCGGTCGAGGAAGGACCCGCAAGCGCCCGCAGACGTTGTTTGAAAGACCGGCCGTGTCGTATTTTAGGCGCGGGCAGGTCGTGGCTCTCGGCCGCACTTGGGAATTCCCCGGAGGCGGTTCTCGCCGACGGATTCTGGGGGAAGGGGCAGCCGGTGCCTCTGCTTGAGCCGTACGCGGGGATGGCTGAACTTTGGCACAGGGTGATCGCGGGGAGCCAACACTTTTTTGGGTCCGCCACCCCAGTTTTCTTCTGGAGACTCGAAAGCTCCGTAGTGGAGGACTTTCGACCCGATTAAGGTCAGAGCCGAACCTTTGGGTGGATTAACAGGCCAGCGCACGTTGACGTTGTTCTGCCTCACTTTAAGGGTATAAAACCGGGATCAGAGTCGCAATCCGATCTTGAATGACTTTTTACCCAAAGCGATCACTTTAAAAGCAGCTGGCCTTGTTCAGATGTGTTTAACCGGGCCGCTTTCCTGTTGTCGGGGTTAGTTATATTAGTTAATAGACTTGGCTTTGGGGAAGGCAGCGTTGGCAGCACGACTCCAATCGAATCACTTCTTAATTGTGAGCGCTAGCCCTTCCCGAGGTTGTTGGCCACTTGTAAACTTTGAAATAAGAATGAGGCCTGTTTTTCATAAATAAGGATGAGCCATCGACTTCAGATGACCGTGTTTGTGTTTTTTGTTACGGAAGATGAGCTAGGTTGGGAATTAACATCATTTCATGAGTATTGCCCAGCTGCAAAGATACAGGTCCTAGAGAGCGAAATGTGCATAATTTACATATAGGCCATCTTTGATGGTTCTGATACTTAAATTTTTTAAGATAATAGCTACTGTAGTTTTACAGAAAGTGAGTGCAATTTTGATCTTTAAAATGCATCATGATCTTAAAAGCCTCTGAACCATGTGTTTATAAAAACTCCACAATGAGTTGATGTTGTGCATGGAATAAATAGATATAGCACTTTGTAGTTTTTATAAAACTTATCTAGAAGTAATTTAAATTGAGTTGAGGATAGAGAAAGGATTTTTGAAAGTAGTAATATAAGGGTAAATGAGCCAGATAAAAGTGTTTTTAGTTACCATTGGTGTTATTTACCTCCATTATTGCTGGAGTAATCTCTGGTTTTCTGGAAATTAAATTGAAATAATAGTAGTGAATACTTGATATCTTCTATGTGTCAAGCTCAGTACTTTACACATTTGCACTCATTTCATTCTTAGTGGAATTCAGTGGGAGTGGTCATGATTGTTTTACTGATGAGGGTTAAGTAACTTGGCCAAAGTTCTGCCGCTGGTAAGTAGTGGAATCAGGACTTGGACCTAGACGGTCTGATCTCTTAAGCCAGACTGCTAATAATGAAACAGTGCATGCTAGAAGGTCACACTCAGAACTAAATGCCTAGCACATAGCAGACTTTCACAAAGTGTTTGATTATTATGCCCAGGGAGAAGATGGTTGGATAAGGATGATATCTTGCTACAGTGTTGGCACTAGTAAGGCACAAATTTTCATTTTGTGCAGCAATTTAACCTAGATTTCTTGATTAGCGCACATAGTAGCTACTTATTGAATGAGTGAATATCCAAGAAAGTTTTTTTTGTTTTTTTAAAGATGTAACAGAATTATTTCAACCCATTTTTAAGAAAGTGAGAGTGCTTCTCTCAGAGGTATAATTTTAAAGTGTGATTTCTGTTTTAGAGTTGAAGATCATATTTTTGAAATATAATATTGTTCTTAAAATGTAGATGCAAGGCTAGGCACGATGGCTCATGTCTGTAATCCCAGCGCTTTGGGAGGCCAAGGCAAGAGGATTGCTTGAACCTAGGAGTTAGAGACCAGCCTGGGCAATATAGCAGAATCTTGTCTCTACAAAAAAATTAAAAAGTTCACCAGGTATGGTGGCACATGCCTAATAGTCTCAGCTACTTGGGGGGGATAAGCCAGAAAAATCACTTGTGGCCAGGAGGTTGCAGCTGCGGTGAGCCATGATTATTGAGAAATCTGTAAGTTTACTGTATTTGATAATTAGTTGTTTTTTTTGTTTGTTTTTTGTTTTTTTTTTTGAGTTGGAGTCTCACTCTGTCGCCCACACTGGAGTGCAGTGGCCGCTCCTGGCCATTGCAGCCTCAACCTGCTGGGCTCTGGCGATCCTTCTGCCTCAGCCTTTCAAGTAGCTGGAACTACAGGTGTGTGCTATCACACCCGGCTAATTTTTTGGTTTATTGTAGAGATGAGGTCTCACCAAGTTGCCCAGGCAGGTCTCAAACCCACAGGCTCAGGCAATTCACTCACCTCAGCCTCCCAGGGCACGGGATTACAGGCTGAGCCACCGAGCCCGGCTGATAATTAGTTTTATATGTCATCTTAGCATATGACATGTATTGCTAAGATGGTATTTTGAAGATGTGGTTAACATCTAAGTTAGTTGCCCTGAAGTAAAGGATATTAACTCAGTGATATGGGTGGTCTTCATTCAATCAGTTGAAGGCTGTAAGAGCCAAAACTGAGGTGTCCTGGAGAAGGAAAAATGGTCCTGAAGACTGCGGTGTTAGTTCCTATCCAAGTTTCCAGTCTGCAGATCTGCCCTACACATTTCAAAGTTGCTAGCTCCCACAATTGTGTGAGCCAGTTCCTTAAAGTAACAATAACTGTATATCTATCTAGATATAGATGTAGCGATTTATGTTTATATCTACATCTAAATCTGTATTTTTCTTGTTGGTTCTCTATCTCCGGACAACCCTGACTGATTCAGATTTTAATATTGACTGTTCTGTTTTAGAGAATAGAACCTCAAACATGAGTTTTATGAATTGATTATGTGGTTTCTAGAATCAGTTCTGCAATCTGATTAGATTTAAAGATTTACTATTTGCTACTGTAGAGAGGACACTGGTAGTCAGTTCATAGTGTGTTATGGTAACAGAGTTATGCAGAAGATCACTTTTGGATATTCCTACTCAAATGCTTATAGAAGGTAAGGTTCTGGATGATCCTGTATTTGATACCTTAGAACATTTTTCTCAAAATAATGAGATTGATGGGTTGATCCTAACTGCTCGATACAGTAGGAAAAGAGAAGGATGAGCATAGGGCTTTAAATTCCCAGCTTAAGTTCCACATAAATAATCTGAAAGTTTCGATGTCTGCCTACCCACCCCCCTCCAAACAAACAAACAAACAAACAAACAAAAAAACTTTATCTCCTGTTGCTGCAGAACTGAGGTTGGTGAATACTACACCCAGAATCTCTCATTCTGTAGGTGGCTAAATTTCTACTATGCATGTTGAAATCCTGTTGTCACCTGTGTCTGTTGTTTAAATAATTATGAAGGATAGGATCCTTAAATTTGGAGTGGGCCATATGGGAGCATCCTGATGAAGCTGGGGATATTAAGCTTCTAAATTTCGCTCAGTCTTTTTTGCCAGTAGAAGCAATCCTTCCCTCTCATTTGAGAAGATTAACCCTACTTTGCCTAAAGAACTTGTAACGGTCTTCCTTGAGATATTTGCCTTTCAGGACACTGCTGGTTCTCCTCAGGACCTATCCTACCACCCCTCTTTGCTTCTAGACCTGCAGCTAATCTCAAGTTCAGCAGATGCTGAAGGGTGAGCTACTAAATTATGACCCTTGAAGAAGTGTGCTATGTTCCTTTAACAAAAAAAAAAAGAAAGAAAGAAAAACTAAATGATTTTTTTTTCAATTTATATAGACAGAAATCCATAAAATATGTGTGGGAATGGGTGTCAAGGGTGAGAGGTAATGATAGAAGGAACATAAAGTTGCATCAGGCATAATTTATTACTATAGGCCCTCTAAGCAGAGCTCTGGGTCCATTGTAGTATCTCTAGGGCTAGAAAGGGCTCTAACAGCTTGTTTGGTTGGCTGAAACATGGGCCACAAGGTGGATGGAGATGAAATGGAGATGAAATGCCAGGGCTAAATGGAGATGAAATGCCAGGGCTTTTCAGTGCCTTGGTTCACTGTAGAGGAAGGGAACCAAAGGCTTAGGGAGACTGAGACCCAAGAGTGGATTCATCAACACAGGTCTGCTCCTTGGAGGGTACAGAGGACACCCCTTTCACTGTGATGGTGAGAAACAAATTCGTGAGGGGACTCCCAGCATTCATGAAGAATTCTGGTTGACTTTTCTGGTCAGAAATTTCAGTGGGAACTGCTGCCAGTAACTGGGGTTCCTTAAAAACAGTGGAAATTGTTGGATCCCAGGTGACGGGGCCACGTGGCAGCACTAGATCAACAAAGACCAGGTAGTCACAGTGCCATCACGAAGAGTCAAAGCAGTAATTGAATGGTCTGACTCGTTGAGACCTGTGATGTTGGCTAGTTGATCATGGTGTCCCTAGAAGAGAAATAGAGGGGCAGTCCACTGAATTCTGACTTGATCTATGTAAGTAGAAGAGTTATAGGTCAGGTGAACAGAAATCTAACAAAAGAATCATGATTCCTCAATCAATTCCCATATTTGGGTCATTTTACAGAATCAGAGCCCTTTAAATGAGGGAAACCCGGGTCCCTTTGAGCATGGACCACATTACACTACCAAAAATTTATGCTGTTAATTTTTTCCCCAGCTTTTCCTAAAGGAGCCTTTGTTTGTTTTTTTTAAAATAAAGGTAGCTGTGCATTGGAGAAAAGGAAATAATCAGACTTTTCATGGATTACTGAACACTTAAC